TGTACTGATATTTGTGAATTTAAGGCCAGCAAAGGCTGGTTTGAGAGATTTAAGAACCGTAGTGGCATACAGTGTGATAAGGCATGGCGAAGCTGCCAGTTCGGACAAAATTACAGCTACAAAATTCGTAAGTGAATTCAAGGAGTGCATACAGACTGAACAATTAAAACCCCAACAAGTGTTCAACTGTGACGAAACAGGCCTCTTTTGGAAGAAAATGCTAAAGAGGACCTACACTACTCTGGAGGAAAAGGGACTGCCAGGACACAAGCCTATGAAAGACAGGCTGACGCTCATGTTTTGTAGTAATGCTAGTGGGGATTTCAAAGTGAAGCTGTTACTAGTGTGCCATTCTGAAAATCCCAGAGCGTTCAAGAAAAACAGTGTCATGAAGAGTAAATTGTGTGTGTTTTGGAAAGTTAATAATAAGGCATGGGTCACGAGGGAAATTTTCGTCAAGTGGTTCAATGAAGTGTTTGGCCCCAGTGTGAAGAATTACCTCCTGGAAAATAAATTGGACCTCAAGTGTCTCCTGCTAATGGACAATGCACCTGCTCATCCTCCAAACTTGGATGACCCAATTCTGGAAGAGTTTGAGTTCATCACAGTAAAGTTCTTGCCCCCTAATACCACTCCTCTCCTCCAGCCCATGGACCAGCAGATCATTTCAAAGTTTAAAAAAACTCTACACCAAAGCAATGTTGCAAAGGTGCTTTAACCCTTTGAGGGTCGACAGGCCCTCTCCGAAACTCATTCTCAGGGTCGGCCAAATTTTAAAAAAAAAAGAAAATTATTTTTTCTTATGAAAAAATGTTTTTTTTTCTAAATATTATAGGCTAAACAAAAAAATTTTACCGTCAATACTTACCGAGATATGGAGGCGTGAAGTTTGCCAAAATTGAACAACATCTGGTAACATCGCCTACTGCCGTCACCCGGTATTTTTCTATTTACTTTTTTATGTACTATTTTCAATTATTTTTCAATTTTTCTTTTTCTGAGTAACTTTTATGGCCTCTGAGGCCAACATGATCAGTATTTTGTAAGTTATTTCTTTTTCAATACTACACAATAAGGGCGTAAACACTGTTGTCATTATTTTGTTTATAGAAAATATTTACACAAACGATATGAAATGTTGCTTATTACTATTTTTCTATATTTTAATACACATTATACAGTCACGGGGAAAATGTTTCTAGAAGTTCTGCAGCCTGTGGAAGTCTTTGAAACATGGTGTCATGCACAGTGGTGTTTTACATTCCTCACACAATAAAACGAGTGTCTCTGCGTTGGGGGCTTTTTTTTTTGTATGTGCACAGACGTAACACCTCTTCTGAGCCTTTTTCTTGAAAGCAGTAGCAGGCAGTTTTACCAAGAAGTGATCACCATGCTTCAGACGAGCGGGTAGTTGTTGATAATTTGGGGGGCGGTCAATTGCAGGTGCTGTTCCTTGGTACTTGAATACTATTTGTCTGATGACAGACAAACAGAATTCCCCATACTGTGGTTTGTTTCTGGTCCTCATCTTATACATATTATAAGCATTGAGCATGGGAAAATTTCCAGATTGGAAAAACAGTTTGATGTACCACTTATAACTCTTGCGAACCCCAATCAGCAAACCCAATCTGCATGTCACATTTGTCCACTGAATGCATGTTGAAGGTGTAATCAATCACAGCTGCAGGTTTTAGAATGGGTTCATTGCTCTCTCTATGCTGCCTGCCACTGTCTGCCATTTCATTAGGGTGAACTGATGACAACAGTGTGACATCTCGTTTGTCATGCCACCGAAATGCCATGATGTCATTGGCAGCAAACGCCTGCACCTCACCTCTCGAGTGCCAGCGTCAAACTGGGCATATGTTTCCGATTTGCAAAGCACTGTGCCACACACATCTGTCATGTTCACTCGCAAAAAATCACTGAGTGGGGGGGCTTGTGTACCAGTTATCTGTATATAATATATTGCCCCTTACCAAAGTATGGTTCTATCATTGTTCTAACCACATCACCTGAGATGCCCAATAACTTAATGGTATTTTGCAATTTTAACTTCCAGTGTACACAATAAAAATCCAATACCAGACCACTGTAACAATCACAAAGCACAAACAACTTTATACCAAGCGTTTCCCCTTGCTTGGGATGTACTCTTGAAAAGAGTCATTTCCTTTGAACAGAATCAAAGATTCGTCAATTACAAGCTTCCTGAAGGGATAAAAATGCGTACTGAATTTCTCTTTCAGATACACAAACACATTCCTAATCTTTTTATAACCTGTCAGTTCTGTCAGGCCTGGTTTGTCTGAGAAGTGAACATACATAACATTAGCACAAATCGATTCACTGGCATTATATCACTGAAACCTGGGGTTGCAATCAGGCGGCTGTTTATCAGTATGATTTCACTTTGTGCTTATACACATGGGCATAAGCATTATTGTGGCAAAGAAAAGATACATCTCAGCCACAGTTGCCTCCTTCCACTGGTGTAGACATGATTTTGGTGAAAGTAATGTGTTTGCCATGGGGGTACTCGTAGTATGTGTTGCTTTCCATGACAATACTTTCCATCAGTGGTTCGTCAAAGAATAACTCGAAACATTTTCCCGTCAGTTGGCATTGTTCCCAAGTGTACAAGATGGCCGTATTCCACTTTGCCTGTCATCAAACTGGTGGGCATTTGGAACAAAATTGGGCCCGCTTCCTGCCATCCCAGGGGCGGTCTGCTGGTGGGTTACTGGACAATGACAGGTGGGTTTTGGTTGTGGAGGTTGTGGGTTTTGGAGGTTGTGGTTGTGGAGGCTGGTGTGGTGGGTGGGTGGGGGATGGTGGCCTTTGTTGTAGATCACCTGAGGCAGCGGTGTGGGTGGCAGCGTGGGTGGCAGCAGGCCCACTGCTGGTGCCTCACCGCCGGCACCACTACCACCACGCACATTTTCCACCCAATTGCAACAGTATCCATCGTCATTTTCACTCTCTGTTCCTGTTGTTACAGCCACGGGGAAGTACTCCGAGATGCACTCCTTCCCCCTTGGAATAGATATGGCACACTACCAGAGCGCATATATCTCGTATATACGACGCTTCACTGGGGAATATTGCACTTCACTATCACACGGAACTAGTTTGAAGAGCTTGTAGTTCATATTCACTATCACTATCATCACCCATGCTCTCATCTGAGTCTGGGATTTGGGAAAATAGAAGTTTCCTCTCGGATTCTGGTACAACTGAACGTGAACAAGACGGCCCAGCACCAGAGGTGGAAGGCTGAGGGTCGTCTGGGTTTTCCTCACTATTACCGATATTATGGTCATTAGTTTCGGTAAAAACCACACCAAAACCTTGAAACTCATCTTCACTGGCACTTCCATCTGTATTAGAACTGTCACTGGGGAACAAAAGTGTCCCAATTCGCCGAGGAGTGAGGAGCTTCTTACCGCGAGGCATGGTGGATATTGTTTACTAAGATGGCGTTCCCACAATGCACCACTGGGTCCCAGATTTTTTTCTACCGCGCACACCGACCACACAGACCCATTCTCTCACATGTAGGCCTACCAGCCTTTTCCCGCGAGATTTGACGGTGCTAGAATTTGTACATACTAGTACGTCAAAACCCCCTGCACGTAAGACGTACTAGTACGTCCGAAACCCTCAAAGGGTTAATGTGACCTCAGACACTCACTTGACCCTAAGAGAGTTTTGGAAATATCACTTCAGTATCCTCCATTGCATAAGCCTCATAGGTAAAGCTTGGGAGGGATTGACTATCAAGACTTTGAACTCTGCTTGGAGAAAATTGTGGCCAGATTGTGTCCACAAGAGGGGCTTTGAAGGATCTGGGGCTGATCCTGATGAGCCTATGGTAGTTGTGGAATCTATTGTGGCATTGGGGAATTCCATGGGGTTGGATGCGAGTTTGGAGGATGTGGAAGAGTTGGTGGAGGACCACAACGAAGAGCTAACCACTGAATGAGCTGCAAGAGCTTCAGCTGGAACAGCAACAGACTGCAGCTCAGAATATTGTTTTAGAGGAGGAGGAAGAGAGATGGAAGAAGTTGCCTTCTTCAAAAATTAAGGAGATTTTTGAAATGTGGAGCAAGATGGAAAGATTTATGGAGAAACACCACCCTGACAAGGCTCTTGCAAGCCATGTCGGCAACATGTAGAGTGACAAAGTCTTGGCCCATTTTAGGGAAGTTTTAAAGAGATGCCAGAAACAGAGCTCTCTGGACACTTTTTTTGAGAGACAGGGCTCCAGTGACTCAAGCTGGTCCTAGTGGCCTTAAGAAACAAAGAAGAGAAGTAACCCCAGAAAAGGACTTGGTACCGGAAGTCTTGATGGCAGTGGATTCCCCTTCCAAACAGTAAATAATCCAATCTCTCCCCTCCTCCAGTCTTCCATATGCTAAGAAGAATTGCCAATAAAGGTAAGCATTATGCTGTTAATGTTTCATTCATCATGTCCCATTGTATTGTGTATGTACATCTATATGTAAAAAAAAATTTTGTTTTAATACTCCTGGGTGTCTGGAACGGATTAATTGTATTTACATTATTTCTTGCGGGGAAAATGGTTTCACAAATCGCCAATTTCGGAAATATTCACACTTTCTGGAACGGATTAATTACGAAAAACGAGGGTCCACTATTGTATGTTAGATGAGATGGATCATAAACTCAGAACACCTCTAGCCATGATGTCTTTACTAATACTATACAGCATTGTTGTTAATCTTAGACATCATTTCAGCCCTGGCCAATTATCAAGCTACTCGTGACTTGATAATGGCCAAGGACTGACTGAAAAATTTTCAATACATGTAGTTTCATATCCAAATTATAAGTTACTTGTGAACTGTTACAGAAAACCAACTTTCTTTCACTGAAGTTTTATCAATAATAAATTATATAAGCACTGAGAACAATTAGTTATATTAATACAGAACAATACATTCATTCAGATTATGCAAGATATACAAGATTATAAACCACTTACTTCTGTCTTGTAGCTGTTTGCATTAACAAACCTCTCAAATTCTGCATTAGATACTTCATGAGCATCCATATAAAAAGTATCTATCTCTATCCATCTGGCAGGGTGCTCACCATCAGCATGAAAAATGGGGTCATTGGTGCCCATTATGAATTTGCCACCAGGAATTTCAACCATTTGGTGGGTACAATCAGAGTCATCCACTATGTTGACAGCCTTACTATATTTAAAACTTGGTGCAGTATTCAGAGAATTCTCTGTTGTTTTATCATCAGGTTCATCAATTTCAACAATGCTTTCAGGTCTTCTCCTGCTTGTGGCAGCACATCCACATGTAGTTTCATCTTCCTGTGGTACTGTGCATTCTTCCTTACTGAGACAAAGGTTGAGAGCACAAAATCCCCAAAATATCATGAGCCTATATTGCTTATTTGGCATTATGACTTTCTTAATGAAATTTTTCTGATGCAGGACTGAATATGCTCTCAACTGATGCAATCTGGAAAAAAAAAAAAAGTTTAGGCATTTATTATAATGGAAGAAGGAAAAGTGAGGGCAATTACAGAATGGAGGGAAAAGCAGCAAGATTTCCACTTCTTTCCTATATCACAATCCTGCTATTAGTTAGCCATGGGATCGCTTTCCATAAATTATCCACTGCCTCTTAAACTGATGTCCTCTCTACACTACAGACAGTAGTTGGGACATCCATCACTACCATTCTTCATGCCCAACTGAAATCACTGCAAAACAGTCATTCTTTGAAGCAGAGGCAGACTGGCCATACAAGCAGTTGGGCACTGCCCGGTGGGCCGCTGGGCTGGGTAAAGAAAAAAAAAAAAGTTGAAAAAAGTAATGAAATTTAATTTTTAAGTGGATTTTATTTAGTTTTTTTTAAGCATTTTCTCCAGTTTCTCAGATAAGCAACATATTAATGAACAATGAGCCAACCTGATATGTGACAGATGCCCAGGCCGGTTATAAGACTCAATCCACTTCTGCTTTTCAGTCCTCTTTGTGCAATCCACTGAGGAGGTTGCAAGATATAGCCATAGTTCGACTTAATCTGTATGGTGTATCTTCATTGGAGTATTATTTATCTTTATGCTGAAATGGATATTTTTTACCTTTGTTCCCAAACACGTAAATAGAGGGTCTTGCTAATACTAAGTATGAGTCTTGTTATCTATGATCCAAGTAGTGTGCAAAATTATGTTGAATTTTACAGGTATCACACTGAGAGGAAAGTACTCTGGTATTGGGTCATTAGCAGATGGACATCTAAATGTTTATGTTCACTGTAACTGATAAGGTGTACCATGTGGCTTATTTGTAATTGGCTAGGCATGTCACATGACTGAATATTAACAGTTCATTGGCCCTTGAGATGCCGTCTTTCACACATTAAGGTATGACTTTTTGCTAATTTCTCCCATAATCACAATTTGCATGAGAAATAACCATTTTTGGGGGTATAAGAACATAAGAAAGGAGGAGCACTGCAACAGTCCTGCTACTCATGTTAGGCAGGTCCAACTATATACTTGTCTAACCTACATTTACAGCTACTCAAAGTTCTCACTTCTATGATACTAGGAAGTTTGTTCCACTCATCCACAACTTGAAAGCCAAAACATTACTTTACTATATTTTTTCTAAATCCACATATCTGCTCCACAGACTGTAGTTGTTCCAGTGTGGTTGTTCGACAGTGTAGTTGTTCTACAGATTGAGGTTATACCATTAATGTAATTATTCCAAGAAGTGTGATTGTTCCATGAAGTGAAGTTGTTCTACAGTGTGGTTGTTCCATGTTGTGTGGTTGTTCCATAGTGTAGTTCTCCACTACACTAGTTCCATAGTGTAGTTCTCCACTTCACCATGTAGTTGTTCCACAGAGTGTAGTTGTTCCACAGTATAACTTTCACAGAGTATACTTCCACAAATTGTAGCTCTTCCACAGTGTAGTTGTTTCACTGAGTATATTAGTTCCATGGAGTGTTGTTATTCCAGTGTGGTTGTTCCAGGGTAGTTGTTCCACAGAGTGTAGCTGTTACACAGTGTAGTTTAGTGTATTTGTTCCATGAAGTGAAGTTGTTTCAGTGTGGCTCAAGTGTAGTTCCACGGAGAGCGTGTAATTAAAGACACACACTGCAAAACTTTGAACTTTGGCCTCAGAAGTTCCTTATAAATCGAGTTCTTTCTTTCTTTGTTGGGTTTATCAGGGCCACTGACAGCATAAGCTGTATCCAGCCCGACTTCTCGAGGCTAAGATTAGATAAGATTTCGTTCGGATTTTTAACCCCGGAGGGTTAGCCACCCAGGATAACCCAAGAAAGTCAGTGTGTCATCGAGGACTGTCTAACTTATTTCCATTGGGGTCCTTAATCTTGTCCCCCAGGATGCGACCCACACCAGTCGACTTACACCCAGGTACCTATTTGCTGCTAGGTGAACAGGACAATAGGTGTAAGGAAACGTGTCGAAATGTTGCCACCCGCCAGGAATCGAACCGGGCCCTCCGTGTGTGAAGCGGGAGCTTTAGCCACCAGGCCACCGAGGAAAAATTGTTGCACAAGGCTAGGCGATGAGAGAAAAGGAACAAAAGTTCCTTTGTAAACAGAGACAGAAATTTGAAATTTACAATTAGATCCGGTGGATCCCTTTGCCAAGCCCCAGCAGAGAGGGATGTCCACACTCCCACCTGAGTTCAGTAACCGGCTTCTCACAAAAACCAATAAAGAATTATCCCCAGAACGGAACAAAATAGAGCTGGCTAAAGTAAGTCGATGAACAGGTGCCCCTCCTGTAGAGTGCCCGGCGGGCAAAATGGATGAGAACAAGCGTCCCAGTGAGAACGGAGGAAATTTGTCACATACTCAGGCGAAAGAGAGACGTCCACACCCGACGAAGACTGGCGCCATGAGTCGAGTTCCTTACAAGTCAAGAAGACTGCGCTTGAAGCTGTTGTTGTTGTTGTTGTTGTTGGGATTCAGGGTCACCAAAACCGAAGCTTTATTGAGCCATGCCTCCCGGAGTAAAATTCGAATTCATATTTATTTATGTCTTTGCAAATAACACATTTATTTGTTTATTTATTTATTTAGTAATTTGAGCATACATTCAGAGGTACAAAAAAATACAGGTAAGAGCAGCATGCCAAAGCCACTTGCATGCAGAGCTTTATGGGCTGGCTTAAAATTAACTTAAGATTAACTAAGCAATGATGTAATCAGTGATAAAACATTATTGTAAACAGATTACTATAAAGCACAAATGAGTATTACAAAGACAGGTCATATGGTTGCATACATTGCTGTACATTCAGTCGAATGGAGTATTCTGTTAGGTAGTGTATTTAAAAAATAACAAAGTTATGAAGGATCCTTCACACAGAGAATACCTCAACAAAGTTAGATCGGGTCTTAGGTTTAACATTTATGTGATATAATTGTGAGAAACATTTAAGATATACAATTTATAAGGTTCAGTTATTCAGTATTTATTTGGTTTTGGGTGAGTAAGCGATCTTTGAGAAGAGACTTGAATTTATAAACAGGTAGTGTTTCTTTTATATTTACAGGTAATGAATTCCAGATTTTAGGGCCTTTTATGTACATTGAGTTTTTGCATAGCGTGAGATGGACACGGGAACATCAAAGAGTGATCTGTGCATTGTGTTATGGTCATGTGTTCTGTTGAGGTTGGCAAGGAGATGCTTGAGGGGAGGGTTAATATCCGAGTTAAGTGTTCTATGTATGTAATAGGTGCAGTAATAAGTATGGATGTTTTGTATGGTGAGTAGGTTTAGTGTTTTGAATATTGGTGGAGTGTGCTGCCTGTAGTGGGAATTTGTTATCATTCTGACTGCAGCCTTTTGTTGGGTAAATAGTGGTCTGAGATGGTTAATTGTTGTTGAGCCCCATGCACAGATTCCGTAGGTGAGATAGGGGTAAATAAGAGAGTGATATAGGGCCAGGAGGGCTGACTGTGGAACATAGAACCGTATCTTTGACAGTATGCCTATGGTCTTGGAAATTTTCTTAGAAATTTGTTGTATATGTGTATGAAATTTGAGTCTATTATCAGACCTAAGAACTTTGCATCTGTATAATTTTTGGCATGCCGTTTATCTTATTTTATAGGGTACATCTGTAAATTGTTCCAAACTGAAAAAAAGTATTTGTAAGTGGTTGTAAGAATTTTCCCTCCTGTTTAATTCTGTAATTCGGATTTTACATTTGTTAAGCGGGAACTGTAGCTCGGTGAAGAAACGTAAAGAATAGGTTTGTCATTTCTAAAAGTGTAAGTTTGAGTATTTCATGCAGGTAGGATATTTTTGTATTCGGAATTTACAGTAGGGCAAGGACACTGGCCTGGGGAAGAGAAGGTATGTAGTGTCATCTGCAAAAGTTGGTCTGTTTGAGGGAATTGCTTTAGCATTTGGGGAGTGTCATTTATACATAGGAGAAATTAAGAGGGCCAAGGGCACTTCCCTGTGGACAAAACTTGTAAGTTGAAGATCAGTGGGGGTTTTTTTTCCATTGCGTTAACTATTGGTTCTGCATGCTGATAAAACTTTAGTAGTTTAGGGATTGGCCTCTTATAAGCCATGAGGTTGAGTATTTTTGGGAGGAAGTAGGGTAATTGTTTTTGAAACTTTACGTATCAATGAAGATCCCAGTGGGATTCTTTTTCTCCATTGCAGTGTATATATGTTCTAGCATGTGTATAATAGCATCATTAGTATTTTTTATTAGGCCTGAATCCAAATTGGCAGGGGTTGAGTATGTTTTGGGAGATGAGGTAGGAGTAGATTCGTTTATGAATTACTTTTTCGAAGATTTTTGAGAGAGGGTGTAAGTTGGATATTGGCCTATAGTTATTCAACTCTGGTCTCCTCCTTTATGGATCGGGGTGACCCTTGCTATTTTGAGAACTGTAGGGAAGGTGGAGGATTCAATGGATTTGTTAAAGAGTGTTGCAATGATTGGTGATAGCACTTGTGACACTTTTTTGTATATAAAGGGTGGTAAGGTATTTAAATCTCCTGCCTTGTTTTTTAGTGCGTTGATAATAAGGGAGACCGTATGGGTTAGTCGAAGCCAGGAACAGTGTGTTCGGGTAGTTGCCAGTGAGGTAGTCATTTGGTGGCGGTTATGTATTTACAATAATAGGTTGTGCAAAGAGAGCCTCTATTATGCTTAGGCATTATGGTCCAACTTAATTTAATGGCTTACTAACTACCTAACATTAAAGAAATTTATCATAGTTGTACAATAGTTCTATTAGTTATAAATGAATCTAATTTATATAAACCAAAGGATATATTCATATTTTCAAAAATGCTTTTTATGAAGCATGATTCAATTATATTCCAGTCGACAATGGTCAATATTCAGAAGTAATTACTGTAATTATATTATATGAATTTAACACTGTGATTTGCTAAAAGTAGTTTACAGCATGAGAAGGCTACAATTTCTATTTCCAATACTGTTTTTGGGTAGGTATTTATACCACTATGTAGTATTAGTCAATGTATGAACTTGGTCGTCTAGTCTTGAAGTTTTAAAATTTAGGTGATTTGTTGGTAAAGTATTTAGTCTACGGTGAGCAACTGTTGAAAAGAGTCTTAAATTGAATTTCAGACCAGGTTTCTTTAGTATTTTGGGGGCCCTTTATGTTCATAGAGTTTTTACATAGTGTGATATGGACACGGGGTACATCAAAAAGTGATGTGTCTTGTGTTATGGCCATGTGTCCTGTTAAAGTTGTTGCGGAGAAGTTTGAGTGGAGGGTTTATGTTTGCGTGTATTGTTCTGTGTGTGGAAAATATTTTAATTTTCCGAAACTATAGTGCCTAATAGGTGTTTAATGTGTCTATATGGGTCAAAAATGTATTTGAAAATAGAGTAGAACCAAGAGTTCCCTTTGCGCATGCGCGGATGTGCGGGGGTAGAGGTGGACGCGGGCCATAGGAAGAGGCGGATTGTTTTTGAATGTGGTGAGGAGGCTGGGAAAGCATGGAACCACGAAATTGGCATTCACGGCGGCCTAAGGATTAATATAGGCCTCATTTCATAATAGGAAGTGTCGTAACTGTTCCTGGTGGAGAGTGAGGGAACGTGATTTACGGGACCACCGTAATAAAGTGGTAAAATGAGTGAATAAGGGTAGGACCGGGTGACTGGCGCGTCACTATGGACTGTGTCCTGGGAAAAATTACCCTTGTGTTAATCCTCGCTCATCGGCCTCAGATCTTAATGGAGTGACCTCTAATTTGTATAATAGTTATGAGACGTTAAATCGTCTTGTGAATGGTAATGTAATCAGTGATAATAACATTGAGTTAAGAGAATGCGGAATGTGAAATAGAGCGCCCTGCTCCGAGTGAACGTGTGACTCTCGTACCGGGGATAATGAAGATTTATGGAATCAAATCACGACTTCTAAACCGGGACAAACCGACGGATACCTCGTCCTGCCGGAATGAGAACCGTGTCGGTGTAGCAGGACATCGAAATGAGATGGTGAATGGAGGAAATAAGGAGTATCAATCACCCACAGTTAAGTAACCCTTCTAGTTATAACAGACTTATGCTGGCCGGTTGGGTTATGTTGTAATTAGATAGGTTATGAGTGATCCAGCTACATCAAGTGACCACCAGAGAACATCTGGTAAGTGGTGGGATTATGTACAAATGTTTTCCTTGATGGATGTATCCAGGTGTATCCTACCCCCCCCCCCTTCATTCAGCTAAACTAATATAATCTATACAGTCCACAATTAATTAGTAGCACCGTACTTGTGGGTGCTATCCAATCCATACTGGTCTCGGATAGATATGGATAAGATTGTGAGGTCGAAGGGGCCACCTGTAGTGACTAGAGGTGGTTAAGTTTTCTCACATGTCTACACGGGGTGACTACGGTAAACAATATGGTTGTCTCCCAATGAGATTACTTGTATGTATATAATGTTGAGGTACATACAGATAAGCACCCTAGAAAATTTTCCATACTGTGTATGTAGTAGGCACATGAATAATTATGGATGTTCTTTATGGTGAGCAGATTTATACTTTTGAATATTGGTGGATTATGCTCTCGGGAGTGGGAATTTGTTATCTTAGGGGCTCTGGTGGCTAACGCTGTCACTTCACACGGCGAGGGATTGGGTTCGATTCCCAGCCAGAATAGAAACATTGGGCGTGTTTCTTTACACCGGTTGTCTATGTTCCCATCAGGAAAATGGGTACCTGGGTGTTAGTAGACTGGTGTGGGTGGCATCCTGGGACACTGACCTAATTTACCCGAAATGTTCACCCGAGACACGCTTCCATTTATAACTTACAATGATTATTTCTTTCATTCCATAGTTTACCAAGATATAGTGCTGTGGTTGGCACTAAAAGTTTCTTGGGCCCAGGAGACTTTTTAGGTGGCGCCATAAAGAGATAAAACGCCTCAATTATTGGGATTAGCAATAAACCTTTTTCCCCTGGAACAAGAGGAGAGATAAGTTTATAACTGGAAAACCTAGAGGACTATACCGAACTTTCACACGAAAATCACTCACTACGAAAGCAAAAGACTTTGGGGCGATCACCATCCCCCCAATGAAAAGCAGGGGTGCACTAGCACGTTTAAAAGACCAACAATAGTGTCAGGGGGGCCCAACGTTTTAACTGCCTCCCAGCACACATAAGGGGGATTACCAAAGACCCCCGGTAGTCTTTAAGCTGGGGACTGGACAAAATGTTCTTTTTATTTATAAAATTTGTGAGGGGGGCCAAACTTTTGGGCCAAGGGTTAAATTTTTCATCCGCTAACGGGTAAAAGGGTCAATTTTTAGGTTGTCTCCAATGATTTTTGGGAAAAAAGTTGATTAATACACAAAAATAAGCAACCATTTAAGAAAATACCATACGGAAGAAGGCACATGAACCCCCAATGGAGGTTCCTTTTAGGTTAAGAGAATACAATATTGGGGAATTTAATCCCTCCCGAAAAGGGGA